TGATATAAACATATATCTATCTCTTTTCATTTAAAAAGCCATACCCATCTGCGTACTTTTTGTTTTATCATAGGAACGAATTACTGAAGCTACTATCTATTGCCCTTGTTTTCAGATAAAGAAAACTAAATATTTTTTAAACATAATATTTTCATTCATCTCTCAGGGTCACAACCATATTGACTAATGAGATCACTTAAGGAGAAAATGTAGGTTGAAAGGAACAGTTTTATATGGCAGACCATAGCCAGGTCAGCCAGAGACCCTAATGATGGAAACAAAATGGAACACAGAGCATGTAACAATGGTGTAAGATGGTGCAGAAAGAACTTCCCCTCATAGGAGTAGGTAGACTTGGAGTCCAAGTTTACAAGCATACGGTTTCCTTGTTCTACCAACGGGTGGTTTTCTCATTTTGCACAGGAATTTTTATTACTATAACTCAGCATCCTGAGGAACTAAAGAGGACCTGCAGAACAGCATCCACTCATTTGCATTCTTATCTCATGTAGCATTGGCGGGAATTCTTTGCTCTTTGGAAGTAAATGAAAACAAAAGCCATATAAGCTGAGTCCAGGGGTCACTTTTAACAATCTTCAAACATAGATCTTGACCTGGCATAAAGAATTTGGTGTGATTAGAAGGGCTGACAAAAAGGGCCTTGTAGTTTAAGTTGGAAGTAGTAAAGGAGCAAAGGAAGAGGAAGTAAGTGGGAGACTCCTGACTCAAGAATGGTTTGACTTCCTCTCAAAGCATGCAGAAGAAAATGTGCAGAGGAAAATCAGCGGCACACTAGGGCATTTGGAGACTAAGTTGTTGAGGTAAAAGGTCTATTGGCACTGTTAGCTCCTCTAGCAGACTGGCATCTGTTTGGCCAGTGCTAATGGCTAGGGATGTACAGGAGAATATGCAGGAAAAGCATTAAGGGTAGAGCACCTGGCCTTTACCAAGAGGGGAATGAAGGCCTGAAATTCTATGTTGGCACCAGAAATATCATGTAACAGTCAGATTTTCTGTATATCCCTTCCACCCATTCACCCCATTACTCTGGAGGCAAAGCCTACCAGTCTGGTTACTTCCCTCTCTGAGGTTCTAGTGCAACAGCTAGGCTCAGGTAGATCCCAGTGGTGGGCTGCCCCCTCCCAGGTCAAGCTCTAATTTCATTCTATTCCCAGCTCTGCATCAAGTAGTTATTTGTGAATTCTTAAGAATCAGAAAGATAACTAAATCGTTACCATTGTTGTAGTCAGTACAGGCTACATAATTTATGCTGCTCACTGCAAAATGAAAATAAGATGCCTTTGCTTTAAAATTAGTAAGAATTTCAAGACACCAACAGCTAAATGTTAAACCAAGTTCAGGGCCCTTCTAAGCAGAGCTCCAAGCAACAGCATAGATGGTATGTCCACAAAACCAGCCCTGACTGCACTCCAGGATAAACTAGCGATGGTACCTACAGCATGAAGCCTCTGTGTGCGCTGTCCATTACAACTACCTAGCAGCATTCACGGTCTAGTAGTTGATTTAGTTAATCATGAAAAAGTACCACATTTGGGAAGCTAAGTTTAGGCTCATTGCCTCTTGCAGGGAATCTGGCAACAGAAAATACATCTAAGATATTCCATTAAAGAAGAGAGGCAGCCCTGTATGGGAGAGGATGAACCCTCTATGGACCTCAGAGACTCGAATGTCTACAGGGTTCCTGAATAGAAAAAAACCTGTATCACTAGCTATCCAAGTCAGTGTTACTCCTTGGGGTGGGAAGTCTACAGTGTCACAAGCTAAACACCTACCCCAGGGGCTGCCCAAGCTCTAGCACAGAGAGATGGTATGCATACATAGTCGCAGCTGCTCAGCTTGGACTGAGAGAACTACCTTTCCATGCTTCCATTCATGCCGCTGCGATGGCTGCTGTCACAGGCCAGAGTGCCCCAGTAGAGCATGTGTAAGTGTAGGGGCCCAAACCACAGTGCCTGATGAACATTCACACCAGCATAAAATAGGACTAAGAGGAGTTCAACTCAAAGCAACACTGAAGTGATCCAGGCCCATTGAAGCCAAACAGAAAAGTATGGTAAGTTTCCCCAGAAAAGTTTCCAATGATCCACAATTCCAATTATTTGTAGCCTTATGTAGTTCTTTCTCACATTGGATCTGAGCTGGGTGAATGATGTGCCTTAATTAACATAATATAGCAAAAATGATAGATGTTTCCATTTTAGTGTTCTTGGGAACCCTGACCTACCATGTTAAAATACAGCTATGCTAATGGAGAGACCACTGGAGAGGTTCCAAGAATACATGGAGAATAAAAAGAGGACTAATTAACTCTCCCTGTTTCCCAGCCTCTAGATGATTCCATTTACAGTCACCAGACTCTAAGCCTAACCAGCAAAAGAACCTCACATTTAAGCCCAGACAACCAATAGAATCATGGAAAAAAGAAAATGATTGATGTTTTGAGCCACTAAGTTTTGGGATGGTTTGGTCCACAGTGCTAGATTACCTAGATAACCAATAACTGTATTGGTCAGTGTTCCGTCAGGGAAACAGACCACCATGAGTATTACAGAGTAGAGAAATTATTTATTATAAGAATTAGGATGAGGAAGTAAAGTACTAAAGAAAGGAAATGGGAGATCAGAAAAAAATCTAACAAGCCTATCTGAAGTGCTGAAGTTTGTGTTGGGTGTTTCATGTTGGTATCCAGGCATGTCCAGGAACTGGAATGGGATCGTGAAGGGGGCTACTGTGGAAGTCTGTGGAAGACTGTTACCTGTGCATAAAAAAACCTCTGTGGGTTTGTTGCCAAGAGTCTTGTGGTGGACCTAGGATCACTGTCAGTCAGCAATGTCAGCATTCAGAAAGAAGAGTCAGAAATGGAGTAGAGAGGAGCAAGGATGCCGGCCCATCTGCACCTGTTTCCCACCACTTCTTATCACTTCTCCTGCAGGCAGTTATGGCTGCTGTTTTACTTCTGCCTTCCACATTTCATGCAAATTATTTTTGACCAACTTTAACCCAGAATCATATGGTTTCTGAGAGATGTAGTTCCAATTTCTCCAACTTGCCTCAGCAAAGCCACTATTATATTAAGTGAAATAAGCCAGACACAAAAAGACAAATACCATATGTTCTCATTTGTATGTGAAATCTAAAAACATTGTACACATAGAAGTAGAGAGTAGAATGGTGGTTACCAGAGGCTGGGGTGGGAGGAAAAAAATAAGTTTAAGAGATCTACTGTACGTCATGGTGATTATAGTTAATAACAATATACTCCATAATTGAAACTCACAACAAGAATAGATTTTAACTGATCTAACCAAAAAAAAATTGTATGCGCTAATGCATTAATTAAATAGCTTGATTTATCCATTCCACAGTGTATACATATACAGACATACCATGTTTTACTGGATTTCACTTTATTGTGTTTCACAGATACTGTGATTTTTACAAATTGACAATGACAATACTAATAGAATTGGGCTCTGATATTAGTAATTGCTACCCAGTGAAATAGAGGAATTCAATAGAACACAGTTTGTTACAGCGGCTCAAAAATTGTTTTTTCATGTTTATATCCTAGTGAATTGAGACTGTTCAATAAGCTGCTTTCACAGCAATTATACTCAATGTCATCACTGCCAAAACTTCGTAAGTTTTGAAAAATAACCAACAATGACAAATCCACTGCTATACAGATCTACTCTCTAGGCACCAAATTCCTAATTTGTCTTTCCACTTCCTTCCCTCTTACAGAGAACACTTTTGCTCACCATACCATCATTCTTTCTCCCTCCTTCCAGCAAATGTCTAGTCATTTCCTATGCTGAACTTTTTGGCAAGTCCTTGTCTTTCTCTCCAATCCTGTTCCTCTTACCATCACCTTCTACTTTTCTGGTGCCCAGCATTACTTGATCACTGATGCCTTAGATAAGCCTGATTTCCCTATAGTTCTGTCTTTTTCCTTCACATAACCATGAATATTATCTAGGGCTACCATATTACAGAACTTTAAAGGGATCCGTGCAAATCATACCTTCTATGAGTGGTACCCCTGGAGTTTCACAAAGCACAGTGTCTGCATCCTCATGTGGTAGTTCTACTCTTAGAGCTGACACATGAAAAAATAAGTGTTTTTCATAAATGATTCTATATTGTTCCATGAAACAGGAAGTTATTTTAAAGCCTTAGCATCCGTAATAGCATTTTAGTAAATATACCTGTTCAGATCATATTTGTTGCTAATTAATTATTTATGACCCCAATACCCTGTTTTCTTTAATAATCTATGTGATGATCAGCAAATTAGTTCCTGATGCATTTGACCCTGTGAGGAATGTAAGCAAAGCGCTACATATTTTATGTCCTGCTGTCTGTCATCATGTGGTGTTTAGGAAATAGGAAGTTGTTTTAGAGGCATATGGAAAAGACTGAACAGTAGGAGTTTGGTGACATGAAAGTAGAACCATCACTTACTTAATCATTTGAAGTTCTGTCTGGGCTTGGAACTAAAAACAATCAAAACCTTTTGCTTTTCTGCAAACATGCATCTATGTACAACCTCTCAAATGTGTTTAGAACCTTAATTAGACTTCCTTCATAGAGCAAACCAGAACTCTCCAGATCCCAGAGAACTCAGTGTCAGGAGACAATGCTATTTGAGGAGAGGAAGAAAGCCCACTATTATCTGTTGCTCCTTCAACTTGGGCTCCACCACCATGAACCTTCTCTTTCTCTCTCTTTCTCTCTCTCTCTCTCTCTCTCTCTCTCTCTCTCTCTCTCACACACACACACACACACACACACACACACACACACACACACACACAGTTTGAGCCAAGTAGGGAAATGTAGGTGGTTCATAGCACTGTTTGGATATAGGTTTGTCAATTTGGGTCAGGAAACAGTATAATTCTATAAAACTAAATTCATTCTCTTCACCTATACCTTCTTCCAAAATGTCCTATCTCAGTGAAAGAAAAGTATCTCACCATCCAGTTATTCAAACCAGAGACCAGGAGGCCATCTCTTGACTCTCCAATTTCTCCACCGTTTATGTCAAATCAGTGAATGAGTGTTGTCTGTGAAATCTCCTTAACCCTTATCTCTTCTCCATTCCTCTTCAGTGACTGCCTCAGTCAGCCTCCATCATCTTCTTCTGAAAAAGATGGTCCCAATAGGTCTTTCTTTTCCGTCAATCCTTCCCAATCCATGTTCCCCACAGATTAACTTGAACAAAATCACAATAGTTCCCACACTGCTTTCAAGATAAGGTATAAATGTCACAAAGGCAGAGACTTTGCCTGCTTTATTCATCACTTCTTGCCAGGCACCTTGCATGATGGCAAATATTTGTCAAATGAATGACTGCAAGGCTCATCATCATTTGGCCCTAGCTTCGACTTCCACATCTCTTATTACACCATCCCCACTGATCTCCCAGCTGTAATCAGTCAAAGACTTTCAGTTTCCCCAGAAGTGCACACAGTTTTATATTTCTGGGCCTTTGTCAGAAATGCCATACTTTACCATTCCTTCCTTACTTCTAACCCCACCTTCTTCAGCCTCCCTTTCTGCCCCCTAATCACATTCCCCTTTTTCAAAATCCCATTTCTACTGCCTCTCCTGCTTCCCTCCCTCACACTCAGACAGAATAGAACACTCCCCCATTTGTGTCCCATTCTTCATACAGAATTCTGACACCCAAATGCAGTTATTTGTTCACTATCTGACACGAGCCCTAACTCCTAATCCCTCTCAATTTTACAGTGAACACTTTGGAAAATGGGACTACATTCTGGGGACACAGAGTAAAAAAGAGAGAAGAGGAAGGATGGAGTGCTGCATATTCTAATACACACACACAAATATAAGACATCCCTATTCTTGCTTCTTTACTCTCTATATCCAGTCAGTCACCAAGTCTTGTCAATTCTTAATGTCTCAAAAAGTGTTCCACCTGTCTCTATCCCTAGTTCATGCCCCCAGCATCTCTAACCTATATTCCCTACAAAACCCTCTTCCAAACAGTCATTGTGAACCATTGTGAAGGTTGAGCCCTGCCTGAAGACACTCAGCCATGCAGGGCAGGAGTGAGTGAGGCCTGAAATATAGTCCAGCCTCAGCTCCCAGAATCAGGGCTGCAGGGGGCACTACTGGATCATTAGGCTGCCCAGAGGTGGCATGTTTTTCTAATTTATAAGTTGTTTTTCTAATTCACACAAGACATATATGCTAGTAATGCAAGCCTGTTTCCAACCAGTATTCACTTTGTAGCCGAAGTCTTTCTAAAGTACAAATATGATCCTCTCGCACTCCTATTTAAAACCTTGTAATGACTTTCCTTTGCACTCAAGGTGATGTAACCACAGACCCCAATTCGGTGTGGTTTAACTTTGTTAGTAACAAAAGGACGAGTTGCTTTGCAGTGCAATGGACCCGCAGGTTGCATATCATGTAACGTGAACAGGTCCAGATGAACCAAGTATGTCTGATTCGAGACCCCAGAGCCAGCGGAATAAAAAAGCCAACCACAGGTGGAACCTAAGTACTTGAATCAAAGAACAGGGATGTAATTAAGAAGTGATTAGTACCCTCTTTTGTTGCATTGCAGACTTAAAAGCCAAAAGTCCATCACTACCCTTTGCATGACCCAGCCAGCTCACTCCTCAGTGCATTTTCCTACCCTTCCCATTGTTAGTCTCAGGCTATAAAACCTGCCCCCAGACCCCGACTTAGGGAGATGGATTTGAACTTGCCTCCTGTCTCCTTACCAGTTGATTCTCAATAAGGCTTTTTTCTTTACTTTTCTCAAAAGCCAGTGCCACAGTATTAGCTTCTGTGAGCATCAGGCAACAAAACCATTGCTTGATTCCAGTGAGGTCCAACCCCTGTGGTATGATTAATGATGCTTTTCGTCTTCCACATCCAGCTTACTTCTCCAGTTTCATGTCTCACAACTTCTCACATTACATACTGGGCTCCATCCACTGTGGACCGCTTCTAGTTCTTTGAATACATTATAGGATCTCTCATTCCAAGGCTATGAGGTGCTTTTCATTCTCTATAAATGCCCTCTTCTCCACTATCCCTCCACTTCCACATCCAGCAGTCACTGAATAACTCATGCTCATTCTCAGGTCTTTGGAGTCATTCCTTCTGGGAAGCATCCCCTAATTCCTCCAACCTCTTGCCCCAGAGGGTTAAGCTCCTCTTCCCTTCCCTAATTCTCACCCCTGAGTTTCACGTTAACTCTGTGTCACGTAACTGCCCACTTACTTGTCATTATTTCCCTCCAGAGGGTGAGATGCTTGAGGGCAGGAGACAAGCTCTTACTCATCATCATCTCGCCAGTGCCCATCACCAAGCTCAATAAATGCTTGTCAAATTAAAACATGGAATCTGTGTTTTCCCAAGCATCAGTTTTAATGAATCAATCACAGAGCTGACAAAAGGACCACAAAAAGGAACCACTAATAACTTTACTGTATGAGCTTAAGCAGGAAAACATTATACCTATAGACAGGAATGCTGGGTCGTTCCACTTAAATTAAGGCAAAAGTATCCTGAACTATATCCTCATTGTTACTGCAATAACAAACTTTGGTTTCACATTTCCTCTTAATCTCCCAATCAGCTTTCAGCCCCTATTTAGGTCAATTCAAATTTTACATGAATTTTCTTCTGCCTAATAGGTTTCTTCAACACCAATTCCTCCAATGACTTTGATTATATCTGCCAAGGACATTAGCCTTTCAAATCAGTTTCAAAGATATCATGGCCAGACTCATTCAAATGCACTTAAAAACTTAGTTCACACTTGAGAAATGCAGCCTTTTCCTATTGGGCTACATCAGCCAGTCACTCTTCCTATACTGCTACCTAAACATCAGCACTGATCTACCAGGTGCCTGCATTCAAACCCAGAAGTCATTTTTTCTTTGAAATTGATGTTCCCTCCACTTGATTATTAATGGCTGACACTCTTTTGCCAGATATTCATTTATCTCTTCAGAGAGACCTTCTCTGTCAACCTAATCTTAAGCAACAACTCAGTCACCACCATATTTTTAAAAATCAAATGCTCTGTAGAGCATTTAACGCTAGCTGATATTTTAAGTTTTAATGGAATGTTAGAATGTGTATTGTTTATCTTTCCCACTGGAATATGGGTTCCATAGGAGCAGTGACCTGTTAGTTTTGCTCACTTCATGAACTAGAACTAGATCAGGCTATAATAAATTTGCAGTTAATAACTGTTGAATGAATGAAAAGATAATGGAAGAATAAACTAAATATTTTATCCATGCTATCTTATATGGAGGCATAGAATCAGGCCAAGGAGAGTTATTTAAACTATTTGTTATATACTAACTTGTTTATATCACTTTCTACCTTTTCTCTAGAGCTTCATACATGCAAACCTTGGCTTCTGTCATTTGCTAGGTGAATTTTCAGAAACCAAACACAATCATGTAACCAAAGTTGATTTCAAGAAAAAAGAACATTACCAGAATCCCAGATGCTCCCTTTCTACTCTCTTCCAATTATCATCTCCCATAAGAGATAATGGCAAGTTAAAAGTCAAGTTATCTTGGTTTTTAACAGCAGAGATTGTTTTTGCCTGTTTACACACTTCAGAAAGGTGGAATCATGTAGTACATATTCATTGGTGATTGGCTTCATTTACTCAAATATGTATATGAGATTCATCCACATTGCTGTGTGTAGTGGCGTTTTGTTGATTCTCATTACAGTAGTGTACAACTTTTAAAGTTCAATACTCATTAACATATTAAAACATAAATTCATTTTTAATACACATATATATAACAAAATTTATATAAGGAAATTTAGATTCACATCAATTCTTTACTCTTTTAAAATAGTGTTCTCTATGATGAACATTCTTATAGCAAAAAACTTTATTCAAGTTTTTATATTCATATTGACAGCTTATTAACAAGAAAGTTTTAACAATTCATTTTATTATCAACTGTATGTGCCAGTATTTGCCTCCTAAATTTCTTCAGCAAATGTGGATACTACTGTCCTTTTAAAATTTGTGTCACTCAATAATTTAAAATACGATATTTCATTGCTCTTTTTATTTTAACTTCTTTACTTACTAATGAATGTGTGGTTTTCCATATGTTTATTGGCTGTTTTTGTTTATATGAATGACCATTTATGTTTGATTCATCTTTTAAGTGAAGTATTCATCTTTTTTATTGATTGGTTGAGCAAAAGTTAATCCTCAATCTATTCAGGTTTCCAATGACTGGTTCCATTTTGATAATTTGTATTTGCCTAGAGAATTGTCCATTTTACTGAGGTTTCTTAATGAATGTGTAGCGGCATCTTGTGATTCTAATTTGCATTCTGCTAATGACTAATTCATTCAGACTTTAAAATGGATCAGCAACATTTTAAAATTCTGTTCTGAATCTGACATTAATTCTTGAGATTAAATTAGATCTTGTATACATAATTATTAGAAAAGCTTCAAGTGTTTACATATACACAGAATACATTCTGTGATCAAAAATGTTATTATTCATTTTCTTTAACTTAGAAAATAAAGTACGGATTAGAGAGCAATCTGACTCAAATGTGTCACTTTGCCCTTTTGATTTAGCTCATCCAAAGGACCATGCAAGCATTTTTGTGCCCACACTTTCTAACACCGTGAACTCCATTGAAAAGGAAGACCTTCTAACAGAGAACTGTGAAAAGAAAGACCTCGAACAAAGGTAGGAAAAGGAACGAGGTGTCAGTAAATGTCAGTGAAGTGACAGACTGGTGTGACAAATAAAAAATGAGGAAGGCTTTGGAGCTTGGGACCAGGAAATGAGAATGTGGAATTATTAGAATGTTTTCCTAAGAGCATGAAACAAACAAAATTTACAAATAGTATTGTTGCTATTAAAATAAGTTTTTTAAAGTTCAGTTTTATTTACAAATGGCATTGAACATAGAGGTAAGATTATATTCTGCAAAATAAAGAATAAGATTTTTAAAATTTATTATCATTGCATTTATTCTCAATTAAGAGAGAAAATGGGTTTTAATGAGGATGTATGTATGAGAATGAAGCCTCTTAAATACCAGAATGTATTACTTAGAGATCATATGAAAAATTTTCTGAGATTGTGATTGAAAAATTAAATCTGATATGATTTAAATGTGAATCAAGTTATAAGTGGAAGCTAAAATGAGGGTGTTTTTAATTTTTCACGTATAAATTTTAATTTTTCAGGTGAAGATTTAAAGTTGTTTGGATAAGTGCTACTGGCAAAGTTGCTTTTTGTAATAGTTTTATAGAAAAATAAATATGTATCAATAAATGAATTGATAATCATTGATCCATGAATTCATTCAGTGAAAATTTCATTATTTGCATTCAATGTGTAATCAGAAGGCATGTATTTAAATCTTACAAGCAATGCTTATTAACTGTATGCCAGCTTTTTCTTTAAATTTGTAAAGGAAAAAAACACTCATTTCATGGTATTTCAAGGGTCAACATATAGATAACATATATAATTTCCTAGCATAGGACTAAGCAAATAGTAAATAAAAGCATAAGTTATCCTTCCCAGTCTTCCTAACTGTAAAATTATGATAATACTTTTTTTCAGAGTTGCCATGCAGAATAATGTGAAGTAGCTACTGTAATGTACAAGCATCTATCAAAATACCTGGCAGCTCAATAGTAAGAGTTCAATCATTCCTTCATTCTTTCCTGACTTCCTATCGTTTAATTTCCATATCAACAACATTTGCTGAGTATCTACTATGTGCACTAGGTCCTGAGCCATGAGGGTACATGAGGCAAATGTGATTCCTGCCCTCAAAGAATGTATAATCTTGAATTGAGGAGAAGAAAGATTAATTAATTGCAATTGATTGTAAGAGGAAGGAAGAAGGCTTCACTATGAATTGAGCTGACTTTTAACTCTGTCAGTGCAGTGCTAGGTACAGGGAATGCAAAAGTTAGGTGTATTTGCTTTAATTTGTTTTGGGAAATTGGCCCATTTACACATCTCAGTGACATCCTAATCCTGCCTCAGCCCCATCTGTCATTTGTGTTCTATTGTTCATATGTAGTTTTTATCCTTCTTGGTTTTCAGAAAGGGGTGAATGTCTGTTGATGACTATTTTGTTATAGCAATATTCACATTTCCAAAGTCTGAATGGTAAATGGTTAATTACTGTAGTTCACGTATAAGGTTGCATTCTTGGCAAATAGAATGTAACCCAATAAAAAGGAAATTATAATGTGTTAGGCCATTCTTGCATTGCTATAAAGAAATAGCTGGGACTGAGTAATTTATAAGAAAAGAGGTTCAATTGGTTCACAGTTCTGCAGGCTGTACAGGAAGCATAACACCAACGTCTACTTCTCGGGAGACCTCAGGAAGCTTACAATCATGAGAGAAGGCAGTGGGGAGTAGGCATATCACATGGCAGGAGTGGGAGCAAGAAGGCAGGGAAGTGCCACACACTTTCACCAGATCTCGTGAGAACTCACTCACTACCATGAACACAGCACCAAGCCATGCAGGATCTGCCCCCACGACTCAATCAGCTCCCACCAGGCTCCACCTCCAACTCTGGGGACTACATTTCAACATGAGATTTGGCAGGGACGTATATCCAAACTATATCATTTCACTCCTGTCTCCCCAAAGTTCATGTCCTTCTCACATTGCAAACTACAATCATGCTTTCCCAATAGTCCCCCAAAGACCTAACTCATTCCAGAATTAATTCAAAAGTTCCAAGTCCAAGTCCAAAGTCTCGTCTGGAAATGAATTCCTTCCACCTATGAGCCTGTAAAATCAAAACAAGTTATTTACTTCCATGATACAATGGGGATACAAGTATTGGAGAAACATTCCTGTTCCTAAAGGGACTAACTGGCCAAACAAAAGGGGCTACAAGCCTCACACAAGTGTGAAACCCAGCAGGGCAGTCATTAAATCTTAAAGTTCCAAAATAATCTCCTTTGACTCCATGTCCCTTATGCAAGACACACTGCTGGTAGAGGTGGGCTACCAAGGCTTTGGGCAGCTTTGCTTTATGGCTTTTCCAGGCTCAGGATGTAAGTTGCTGGTGGCTCTACCATTCTAGGGTCTACAAGGTAGTGGCCCCCTTTCCACAGCTCCACTAGGCAATGCTTTGATTGAAACTGCCTTTGCAAAATTATGACTGAGACACTGAAAGAGATCTAATTTAATCAACTCCATCATGCTTCTAACCTCCAAGTTGTTCTTGTTCATTCTTGGGTGTAGGCTGAACTAACTTTGGGAGAAAATTAGTTTACAGTTTATAGGTTAAAACAAACACGATAACAGTCCTTTCACAAAGCAGACCTCCATCCTGCCTGGGGACTAGATTGCCTTATTAGCCACGGTTTAGTAGTCATGCAGCTGGAGGATACAAGATTCTGACCTAACTAAACTGCCCCTGAGACCATGTACTTGAGCTATTTTGCAGACGCTGCATTTGATGGATCAGCTGGTACCACCCGGATTGATACAGGCTCATCTAATCTCATGGACCCCACCCAGGAACTGATTCAGTGCAAGAAGATAGCTTAAACTCCATATTATTTCTTCTGTGACCCATCAGCATTGCTGGCTCACTGGCTTTCACCCATCCACCAAGTTGTCCTAAAAAGCTCTGCCCCCCAAATGCTTGGGGAGACTGACTTGAGTAATAATAAAACTCCGGACTCCTACACAGCCAGCTTTGCCTGAATTACTCTTTCTTGATTGCAATTCACTTGCTTTGATGAATTGGTTCTGTCCAGGCAGCAGTCAAGGTGAAGCCATTGGGCAGTTACAGAGTGGGGACACTATGTGGAGCCTTCAAGCCCACATTTCCCCTCTGTACTGCCCTAGTATAGCTTCTCTGTGAGGACCTCTCAGAGAAAATTGTCGTGGAAAACTTTCTATGACCTCTCATAGAAAATGACAGGTCATAGAAAATGTCTCTCAGGCTTATGCAGCAGATTTCTGGCTGAGCACCCAGGCCTTCTCATACATCCTTTGAATTCTAGGTGGAAGCCTCCAAGCTTCCTTCACTCTTGCATTCTGTGCACTGACAGCCTTAAAACCACATGGAAGCTGTGAAGGATTATGGTTTGCACTCTTTGTAGTGGTAGCCAAAGCTGTACCTGGGTGCCTTTGAGCCATGGCCTCAGTTGGAACAGCCATGATGTGAGGTACAGCCTCCTGGAGTGGCACAGGGCAGTGGTATCCCTGGTCTGTCCCCTGAAACCATTCAGTTCTTTTGGACCCCTGGGCCTGTGATGGGTGGGGCTCCCTCAGACATCTCTGAAATGTCTTCCAGGCCTTTTTCCCATTGTCTTGGCTATTAGCACTTGGCTCCTTTTTAGTTATGCAAATTTCTCTAGCAAGTGGATGTTTCACAGCCTGCTTGAATTCCTCCCCTGAAAATGGGCTTCTCTTTTCTACCACATGGCTAGGCTGCAAATTTTCCAAACTTACATGCTCTGCTTCCCTCTTAAATATAAGTTTTGGCCAGGCATGGTGTCTCACACCTGTGATCCTAGCACTTTGGGAGGCTGAGGCATGCAGATTGCCTGACCTCAGGAGTTTGAGACCAGCCTGGGCAATATGGTGAAACCCTGTCTCTACTAAAATACAGAAAAAAAAAAAAATTAGCCAGACATGTTGGTTGGCACCTGCAGTCCCAGCTACTTGGGAGGCTGAGGCAGGAGAATTGCTTGAACACGGGAGGCAGAAGTTGTAGTGAGCCCAGATTAAGCCACTGCACTCCAGCCTGGGCAACACAGCAAGACTGTCTCAAAAAAAAAAAAAAAAAAACTTTAAGTTTCAACTTCAAGCCCTTTCTTTGCTCTCCCATCTAACCATAGGTTGTTAGAAGCAGCCTGAATGCTTTGCTGGTTAGAAATTTCTTCCACTAGGATACCCTAAGTCATAACAATTAAGCTTAAACTTCCACACATCCCCAGGGCATAAACACAATGCAACCAAGTTCTTTGCTAAGGCTTCATATGGGTGACCTTTGCTCCAGTTCCCAGTAAGTTTCTCATTTTCATCTGAGACTTCATCAGCCTGGACTTCCCTGACTCTGTCACCATCAGCATTTTGGTCAACCACCATTTAACTAGTCTCTAAGAAGTTCCAAAGTTTCCCTTGTCTTCCTGTCTTCATCTGAGCACTCCAAACTCTTCCACCCTCTGCCCGGTATCCCATTCCAAAATCCCTTTAACATTTTCAGGTATCTTTATAGCAAGACCCACCTCCTTGGGACCAACTTGCTATATTAAGCCATTCTTATGTTGCTACAAAGAAATATCTGAGACTAGGTAATTTATGAGAAGAGAGGTTTAATTGGCTCTCAGTTCTGCAGGCCTTACAGGATGCATAGCACTGACATCTGCTTCTAGGAAGCCTCAGGAAGGTTACAATCATGGCAGAAAGTGAAGTGGGAGCAGGCATGTCACATGGCAGGAGTGGAAGCAAGGGGGCAAGGAGGTGCCACATATGTTTAATAACCAGATCTCATGAGAACTCAGTATTGTGAAGACAGCATCAAGCCATGGGGGATCCACCCACATGACCCAGTCACCTCCCACCAGGCACCCCCCACAACAACATTGGGGATTACAATCATGGCCTATGAGATTTAGCAGGGCCATATATCCAAACTATACCCATTAGTAAACCTTCATTTGGCTATGGTCATAGAAAATTTCTCTCAGGCTTATGCAGGTGTAAATCAGCCATTTACTTGCAGACATTTTTGGAACACTGTTTTCAGGCTTCCCTGCTTGTATAAACTTCCTTCTGGCTTACCTTAGACTTCCTCTTTCCTTCTACCATGTGTACTTCCCATCAGTAAATTCATTTCTTCAGATTTAATTCAAAAAGGCAAATATGTATTGAGTGGCTATCGTATGCATGTTCTCAGAAATAATGTTTTAAATGTTCCTTGAATGGAAACAAAGTTCTTAGCCATCTCATATTTGTCTATGAGAACAGACTTAACGTAACGTATCGAAGTATTCTCCTTGGATGAGCTATATCTATTTGGTAAAAACTCAGGACCCCAATTCACTCTACCAAAACAAAAAAAAATTAAACTGAAAGCTGAGTCATGCAAGAAACTGCCTTTCCATTTGTTCCTAAGCAGATAGCTACAGATAAAATGTTAAATATCTCCATGGGGAGCTGCTCTTATCTGATGTTAAGTGCCGTTTTCTTATGTTACGTAAACTGCTGATTTACAGCCTGTGAGATGAATACATAATTGACTATTCCAGTACCTGCCTGTTTTCCCTTGTATCATGTAGGTTACCAGACCCTCCCTCTTTCCCCTTCAGTCAGCTTTTTCCTTCTGAATACTGAAGCCCTCAAAATTATCTCTGGAGAAAGGCACAGACCACAGATTGTTGCCTTGATTCTGTGCTTTGTTCTTCCAGCCATGCCCTTAAGCTTGGCCAGATAAACCTTTAAATTGATTGAGATCTGTCTTAGATACTTTTTGGTTTACCACAAGTTTTAATGACTAAGGAAAGAAAATGATGACTCCACATCTGTGTGATGTGGTGGGCTGGGAAGGGCAGGGAGACGGCAGTCATGGGAGGGTTTTCCCTGAAGTAATGGAAACGTATACAAGATGCTAAAAGCAGGAACCTCAGTAGAGGCCTTGCAGAATCACTGCACTAGGGCAATGAGTATGGGTTAAGGAAATGGGAAAGGCTCTGTGAAGAGGTGGGTGTGGCTGAGCCCCAAGAAATATGGCAGTGCTCAGCAGAATAATGCTGCTTCTGATCTTCACTTCATATCTTTAAATCAAGAGCTAGAAACATACCATGAAAAAGTCCCTGAATAAGAGAACAGGACCAACTGTTAGGCTAGGCTGGAAAGCAGTAACTTCTTGTGTGGGTGTAAAGCTATAGAAGACACAACCCAGAGAAATTCCTGAGCTCCCAGCAATTCACCCCTTTGCCACCTCCCACCTTTCTTGTGGGTCACAATTGCTTCCCTTGCTTCATTTCCAACTCTAACTGCAGCTTTTTGTTGTTATTGTTTCTTTGAGACAGAGCCTAACTCTGTCACCCAGGCTGGAGTGCAGTGGCATGATTCAGCTTACTTAAACCTCCGCACCTGTGTTCAAGCAATTCTCATGCCTCAGCCTCCCGAATAGCTGGGACGACAGGCACACACCACCATGCCTGGCTAATTTTTGTATTTTTAGTAGTGACAGGTTTTGCCATGTTGGCCAGGTTGATGATCTTCAACTCCTAGCCTCAGGAAATACAC